TGTAAATATTAATCGTCTATTTGTAAATATCACTAATTAACTATTTATATACATAAAAAGTAAAGTATTTGAAAATGAATATAATTTTCACTGAATTTCTCTTTATCAATGTTCCAACTTGTGTTAAAAAGTTGCCGCGACGATTTATTATATGTTTTAATTGAAATTCTTGCCCAAGTCTACTAATCGACATTATCTTGGTTGCGTGTCTCCGTTACTTTAATTAATCCGATTAGGCACGCGTGATTGGCGCGTTTCTAGTTAGTTAATGTCGCTGTCTCGAAAAATTGAGTACCACTGTATGAGAATATTCTTACGTGCCACACCGCTCGTTTTACCGCGAATACACGAGACTGTAGGCACAAAAACTGTCACGAGCGATTTCTTCGCGATGTTTGACGGTGCGCGTGAGACCTGTAAGTCGTTATGTATATCAATAATATTACACGCCGTCTTAATTAAGCTTAATCGTTACACGTTTCGCATCGTCAGACCTGTCTTTACGGACAATCCTGATGTTAACGCCAGCTTCATTCCAGAAAATAGTCGATTGAAATGATATTCTATAGAGAAAAGAATTGTAAACTCTTGAATAATTAAAAGCTAATAATGTATGAAGACGTATATTTTATCGTACTTTATATATGTTTTTGTATACGTTCTATTACACCTTTTATAATACCTACATAACTGTTTACTACACTGAAAAAAGATAATGTTACATCAACAGCATTATTTTAATTGAAAATAATCTTGTTAATTCATGACAGTATTAAACAACAGTATGAAACAAATAAAATGTTATTAAAAGACAAGCATAATATATTTGTTTCACTAATAGAGTTATTGAATTAACAAAATTATTTTTAATTAAAATAATATTGTTGGTATAACATCATTCTTTTTCTTCAGTATATTTACTCCGGTTGGAAAAAGATATTTATGTCGCGCGAATAAAAGCGGAGCTAATCGGTCGCATCTGACATGTAGGTAGTACATTTTTTTAGCTTTCAATTTCTATTGAATACTAATAAGCTCTAAACAAACTCTCGACTAATTATGCTTCAATACTCAGAAATGTGACGTGACTTATGCAAATCGATTTCTGACGTGTGTAAATATTAATTAGGTAGATGTATACAATCGTACAATCCACGAATCATCCGCATGAGTTAATTTTCTCAAGAATGTGGAAACTATGTGAATTTATTACAGTTTTCAATTGATAAACAAAGCTATAGTTGAAAATAAAATCTTATCATGGAAAAGACGATTACGATTAACACAATATCTATTTCTGTCAATAAAAACCTTCATAACACTTCTTCATTTATCCATGTAATTATTCAAGTCATTAATTGCGACTGGCATTTGACTAAATTGTGTTAATTTTCGTGCACATATTCATACGACATAAAGAAACTAATTGGGATGTCAATAGCCGCTGCGCTACCTTTGCGATCAAACAGCTTTGCTAGATTTTGCAATAAATTTGTGTATGCGTATATATCGCGTTTAATCGAATAAAATATGTACATTCGCTGCTTCGCCGACGGGTCGAATTAGTTCACAGCGCGGTTTTCATAAAGCTCCAAAAGCCTGTCGCTTTGTCGGAATTCAACGGACGCGTGCCGATTTAAAGCGCAACTCCGCTCATCCGCATAAAACCAAAAACGGTCTCTGTCGGACTTTTACATTGTAAAAATGTACATGTCATTGTTGCGAATTTCGCGAATGTAAAATATACGAATAAATGAATGTATCTCTCTTTTTTAAATTCTTTTCCCGAAAAATTCGCATTAGTCGAAAGCGAAAAATCGTTGCGCACGCTGTTGATTTCGGAGCATAATGAACATCGATCGTAAGTAAATGAAGACACGTGACGCGCAGGAATCCATCAACGACACATAAAAAGAATCAACCTGGTTCTTCACACGATGGTCTCGCATAAATATTTTCGTCTCGCTAAATATTCTTAACTTACTATAAATAACTCATTTTTACAAATCGTACTATATATGGAACAAATTGAAGCCCGAAGCTGAATACGTTCGTTATCGTTTTTTCCAAAAATAAGTACTATGCCCATGCAATGAGAATGCGAATATAATTTTCGATTCTAACAGATGTTAATACGCGTGGTTTAAGTATCATTCCTCGTACAAAATTTATATTATAATATTAAATTATATTAATCTTAATCGAACATTATTTTCACACAAAAAGATAACGTTATTTAAGAATTTTTTCTTTTGCTTCTGTTTTCATTTTTCATGCTTTTGGCCTATTTTTCCGGTTTCTTGTATATTAATATTTTGTTGCTTTCCGATAATAATTTATTTATTTCTATTAATTTCTTTTATTAATTGCTGATATGATATATTTATGCCTATTAATTTCCTTTATTAATATATCTAATAGATTACACTTAAAAAATTTTTTCTCTCTTACAACCAACGTTTCATATTTGTGTTTCATTTATCCAAACACCCTTGAACTCTTCTATTGTTTCGCAAATTGACATACATTCTTTACATTACCATCTATAAATTATGGATTCGCACAGACTGAAGGAAAAAATGAATGGTCGAGACGTCCTCGATGAGAAGGAAAAGATAGCTATCCGGTTATTTTAGGCGTACCTTCAGACCTGTCGTCTGTTTTGTTAACTATTTTGTTTAGAAACGAGATATGTACATGAGACTTTCTTATTGATTTTGAAATTTGTAAAATCTCTAGAGAAAAGAAACACTCTTCCGTGACATCCGTTTCAAGATTCTTTTAGAGACTTTATAACAGAATTTAGCCACATGATATATTATTGAGACTAGCCTATCCTTTTTGTCTTCAATAATTAAATTATTATAGAATGAATAAGTTACACTAAAAAATGATGTTATATCAATAGCATTATTTTAATTGAAAATAACATTTTTATTAATTCAATAACACCATTAATGAAACAAATATCTCATGTTCCTGGTTTAATAAAATTTCACTTGTTTCATTAATACTGTTATATTATAAATCAACAAAATTATTTTCAATAAAAATAATGCTGTTAATCATTTTTTTCAGTGTAGAACGAGACAACATATGTAAAAAAAAAGAAACAGTATATATACTCTTCTCTCTCTTTTTTTGACAAAATTGTTCGTGGCCAGACTCGGTTATGCGGTCTCTAGTTTCAACGATCCCGGAGAATCTCGACTTTTGTCGTGCAGGTCACAAAGTATGTAAACCGTGACACGCCGAAGCTGCGACGAGGAGCTCCGAGGAGCAAAGGAAGACGCGTCGTCCGTTCGCAGTGACGTTTAGCCGCACTCTGTGGGAACGTGAGATGCAACGAACGGCAGAAAAATGCGTCCGCCTCGCCGTTAGTTTGTGTCGAATGCGTGACGGGCGCGTGTATGCGTGAGTCGCACGCACGCGCGCGGAATGAGCGAGTAGAGAAGAGAGAAGTAGCGCTTGAAACAGAGGAGAGAAGCGCGACGAGGGGCCTTCTCTCGCACAGGTATAGATATAGGTATAGGTAGAATAGCTAGCCGCGCAACAACTAATCTCGCATGCGCTCGTCACGATTCCGCGTCTTCGTGGAAATAATCGTGGCCGCCGAAAAACGAATATACATAACGAATATACTCGCGTACATAACGCCGCGCGATCTCGCCTTCGGAGAAGCAAACTTCGTAAAATCGCCTGACACAGTTTTCATTCGACGGCGGCCGGCGCGACGCGACGCGAGACGCGCTGCACGTTGTTGCCTCCCTCGCGACACAAGTCGTTGAGGCGAAAGGAATGTTACGCGAGAGAGCGAGAGAGAGAGAGAGAGAGAGAGAGAGAAAGTACTTCGCTATCCGTTCTCGCGCCGCCACCGCGCTGCCGTTTCCTCCTCCTTCTCCTTTACGCGCGCTTGCGAAAAAGAGTTCGGGAGGCGGGAACGTCGGCGGAGTGATTTTCTCGGCGGAATTTTCGCGGCTCGAAAAGACGACCGAATCCGAGAATCGAGTGTCTCTTACTTTGGAAGGTACACGAGACGCGATATTACGAGGATGAGAAAGAGAGCGAGAGAAAGATGAAGAGACTACGGGAAAGAAACTACGGGACACGGCATGCCTTGCCTGCTTGTGTTCTCTCGCCCTCTCTCCGCTCTCCTCTCGCGGTCACTTCTCTCCCTCCTCGCACCTCCCACTCGTTCTCTCTCGCTCTTTCTCCTCTCTCTCTCGCTCGCTCGCACGTACGTTCGCTCGTCGACTCTCTTTTTTTCCCCGTCTCGTCCAACGTACCGTAAGACTCCGGGGTCTGACGTGAATCAGGCGTGACATTGGCTCGACACAACAAAACTTCAAATCTCACTAACGTACACACACACACACACATACACACACGCACGTACGTCGGTATGTACGTGCGTGCGTACGTACGTATGAACGCACGCACGGCACGGGGCCGCCGCGAGGGCAGGCGACAAGGAGGGGGGAAAGACTCTGGCGATACACAACAGCAACATGGAGCGACAGCAACGACGACGCGACGACGACGATGACGATGACGACGTCAACGTTGACATTGACGACGGCGACGATGAACGACGAGTGCAAGACACTCGGCGACGTCGCCACGAATATAGGTTAACGTTCGGGGCGCGACGGTGGTCGTCGCGCTCTCTCTTTCTCTCTCTCTCGCTCTCATTACTGATTCGCTCACTCCGTTCATTCGGTTCCTCGCTCGCTCGTATTCGCGTCGTCGCAACGTGACGTACGGGGCCGTGGGATGCCGCCGGCGACGGCGACGGCGGCGGCGGTGGCCACCTTGGGGGGGCCCTCGTTCCCGTTTTCCAGGCGAGATCGTCTCGCGTTCGCCGAACCGAGTCGCGCGGAAATTCGGAATAGACTCCGATATCATTGGGTATTCCCGGGATGAGGGATGAGGAATCGGAATTACGGGCAAAGAGCGCGCGTCCACGCGCTCGCGCACGAATACGCGGACGATCCACTCACCAGTGCGAAGAAATTCGTGTGGCAGTCCTCCAGGCTGGCGCCGTTGGTTTGATGCGACGGATGCGTCATGGCTTCTCCATCGTACGCCGTACACTCATTTAGTCTAACACTCGAACGGCAACTCCGTCGCCGATCTTATCCCGCTTGCACGAGAATTCCGCGCTAAGAGCGGGCTAAACACCGCGCTTTATTCACTCGGATTTGTACATTTAGGAGGGTTTTCACTTCTCAATGGCGACCGTAAAATGGCGGCGGGCGGCGATGGGAAACAACAAGCGCAGCCGCCGGGTGCGCCCCCTAACGCTCACTGCCGCAGTTCTAGTTGCCGTCG